AAGGGACCCCATCAGTGCACAAATTCATGCACCAGGTCTCTAGTAATAATTATAATTATAAAAATAATAGCTGAGGAGAACCAAGTTGGTGGCATAAGGTATATACTGCCCCCCACAACTACATTAAAACTACAACTAAAAGACAAAACGGCTATCATCCAGAACCACGGGAAAGCTGGCCAAGTGAAAGTTCTACAACTAGAAGGAAAGAAAAAAGCACATTGAGACTGGGCAGGAGGTGCGGAGGCACCAAGGCAGAGGTACAGAGGCGCATGAAATGGGCTGGCAACTGGGTGTGCTGTTTTTTTCAATTGAAAGGGAGATTCAAGCTCCTGACTGCTCTGAACTCCAGTTTCCAGCGAGACTCTGGGGACCCAGACTCCTACGAGGAGAAACTGGACTTTCTGGCATCAGGTCTGGCATCAGGGTGGCTTTCTCCCAGAGCTGCTCACAGGGATCATTGTTACTGTGGGGGGGGTGGGAGACGTGGAGATCCAAAGACACAGAGATGGCTGACTGACAGCCATTGCTGTTTGCTCCACCCGGGTGATTCCCTGAGACCCTGCCCCACCCAATTTACAACCCCACCCAAGCTGTGCGCAGCAGCACAAATGAATTGCCTGCCCTTTCACAGGCTAACCTAACAAACTGCAGCTGGGTCAGAGAGCTCCAAAACTTCCATACCCCAAACAAAGAGGAGAAATCTGCAGATCTCGCTGTAGCTCCTGATGGGTGGACTCACACAGTGGTTGACTTTGCACCTCCCTGGAGGTCCAGGAGCCAGTGTACCCAGTGGTCAGATACCAGATTTCAACTCCTCACATTCATAAGTGACACACTCAAGAGGCAGACTCAGTGAGCACCAAAGCCCCACTGAAACAAGTCCTGCCTCATTAGGGTGTCTCCTGTACAAAAGCTCTCCCACTGTAGTCACAACTGGTCCCCACAGCCAATTGGCCTAGAGGTCAATTCCTCCCAGTGACACCAACAGCAATCAAGGCTCAACTACAAC